AGAATTCACTTCTATAGCCATCTGGCCTGAACTTTTTTTTGTTAGGAGTGTAATGTGTCTTTCATGCTGCTCAGGGGGGAGCCTAGTTTAGGGGAAGAAAGTCTTGTCATGAGACATTTCCTTAAGAGGATCAAGCCCTGAAAACCAGAATTGTCCCATGAACCCTCCCACCCCCAATATACCTAGTTCAATCTTAGGTTCACTTGTCAGATAAATTTACATTATTCTGGTTATTTCAAACAAACTACTCTGCAAAGGTAAAGATACCAGACAGTATCCTTCCACAAGGTGGACCAGGACCTACCTTCAGGGCAAAGAGTATCATTAGTCACCTCAAGTGACCATGAGGGAGACAATACTCGATTTGAAAGCAGGTTGTGGGGTGTGATCGGAATCCCTACTTATATATATCCTATGTGGATGGTATGCTGTGTGGTTCATAAAGTCGGGCTGGAGTACAAAATGTTTTAAGTAAACAAACATGTCTTATATCCTTAGATCTATTTAAAAGCCATAATGTTATTGTTTATGGATATTGGGGTAAATACAGAAGTCAAAAGGTTAGGCCTTGGAACAAGTCTGGGATAACATGGTTAGCTATTATGATTAATTAGGCATATTATAAGCAGATTAGATAAACACAGGAGTTAAGATTTCTAGTTCGGCAGGTTTTTCTGGACTCCAGCTTCACCCTTATCTTCCCTGGGGCTCCCCCTACCTTCCCTGGCCCCCCCACCTTCTCTGCCCCCAGCCCCCTTCCCTGGCCCTACCCCTTCCCTGGGGTCTTACCTCATCAGAACACACAAGTGTGTTCACATGTCCTTAGCTAGGAGAGCCATAGAGACCAGATGTACTCCTTGCTTGGACTTCCCCACAGTTGGGATGTTTGGCCACAGAACTCCAAGAAAGGAAATAATTGACAGGAAACTACTGAAGAATAACATCTGTATTGCCTTTTACCCTCCAGGCAGGGTGGGGGAGGGCAGGACTTGGAGGCCTCCCTACTCATCCGGCTCTTTTCATCTTGGGCCATAGAAAATCTCCTTGATCTTGGCTCGCCACCCATATCTGTGCTCTACACTATTCATTAATTTGATCTTGTCAAATACAGCTGGAATCGGTTTTCTTTGAATTTTTTTTTCCTTGACTGTATCTGTTAGATTCGTGCCTCAAGGAACTTTGGATAACTTTCTATGCTATATGGAATTGTGAGTGGTTATGCATTTATCAGAATTTAAAACACCCAACTATAAAACTGGGGTCACCTTTAAACAGCAGAAGTTATCAAGAAATGGGAGGAAATGGTATATCAATGGTCAAAAGAAGAGGGACAATCTTTGGACATGATCTCATGTCGTCTTTCAATGACTCTCATTTTCTAGGCAAGGCTCAAAACGGGAAAGTGGCCTGGCTGGAATTTAAACCAAAGTTTTGCTGGTACTCAAAACCCCAGCTCCTTTTTCTTAGATATCTGCCTAAAATTCATATTGGCAACAACTAGAACCTGAATCCAATTGATTCAGATCTTTAACTCCTATATGGTTTCCACACCATAGAAATCAAATTCGGCGATAAGCCAAGTGTAACTTATCAAAGATGTGCTACGGCCAAGTCAACTTGAAAGTAAGGGGGAAATATTTTGAGAAGTGAGTAGGACCCAAGATGAAATGTTAAGCATGGATCTTGTAAATTAGGTTGCAACCCTAGAGCAGACGTTTTCAAACTTCCTTGACTCGTGACATCTCTCGGCCAAAGAAACAACTAGGCGTTCTGTTTATTAAGTAGGTAGGCCCTAAGAACTTACTAAGCACTTGTATGTGTCCTAAAATATCATGACTATTTTCTTAGGAAAAAACCTGTATCTTAAAGTATTTTACTTCATATTAAAAAGACCACAATCATTAATGGCAGGTGTACATCTCCCAGGCCCTGGGCCCCGCCTCAGATCTTGGAATATGACAACTGTGTCCGTTTCTGCTCCACATAGGTTTTTTACTGGATAATAGCAGCCATTAAGAATATAGTCTTACAAAAATATGGCATAAAAATTGCATAAATTGATATTGAAAACTAGAAACCATTTTGAGCTATGAGCTTACATAGTATCTGATGCTGTTTCTTCAAAAATTTAAAATATCCCAGGGTACTCCTGAGCTCACCGCAGCAACCCGGGGTGCCTTTGGGCCTAGGTAAACCTCTTCATACGCACACTTACATATTCCACAGGATGTTTTGATTTATACAGTGCTTCTGACGTACCATTCGGTTTCTACAGTTGGATGGTTGTGCCAAACTTGAGGATCTCTCTTCCCCTCTTCCTTGGTCTTGGCTCTTCATGACTTTCCTATCTCCTACTTTACCTCATTTAAAAAATACGAGACTTCTTGCAGCTCCATTTCTAGCTTGAACTCTTCCCCCATAACATCTAACGTACAATGAAATTTTCAGCCAGGCGTAGAGGCATACAAGTAGTGTTCTGACAGAAGCATACCTGAAAATCTAACTTTTAGACACAGGTTCTCAGTTGCAAAGCAAAGTGTTTACCAAGGAATTCTTTAGAGTCTCAAATTGACTATTTTATGCTTAAAGCAGGGAATAAAAGAAAAAGATAATATTTGTTTAAAACATTTATCAAAGACCACACATATTCCCAGAGCAGGGCAATGGAGTTGAGAGTTGGGCTCCCCAGAACCCAGGGGTCCACGTGGTCAGTCCTAGGTATCTGTGCTGGCAGCTGGGAGTGTTTAGGCCAGATGCGGGGTGAGCAGGAAGACGTCCCACTGCACCAGGGATGGCTTGGGAGTTGGGCTGGGAGCAAGTTCTGCCCCTCTGCAAGTTAACTTTTGAGTTTGAGGGTCTTCCCCCCGCCCCCCACCCAATTAAATGGGAATAATATCTATCCCAAAGCTGTTTCTTCAGGACCCATCAGCACCAATAAAATGGATGTTGCAATGTCTAGTGCATTTAAAGGCTGGACAGGTAACTGTTATCAATATTAAAACGGAGCTGGCCCGTTGAAGGGGAGCAGCAGAGCAGGTCTGACGGAGAACGGAAGAGGCACTAAGAGGAGGCAGAGTGGCCAGGTTCATGTCCTTTGCTGGTGGGGCTGTGGAACTGCTCCAGAAAACCATTTGGCAGTGTCTACTAAAGTGGACGTGCTCAAGTGCTAAGGCCCAGTGGTTCCACTCCTAGATCGGAGTTCAACATCCAAACACTTAGTTGTTCCAGAACATCTTTATAGCAGCACAATCCACGGTAGCCAAGAAACTGGAAACGACTCGAATGCAGATACGTCAACACAATGTGGCCTTTTAGCCATTAGGCTCTTCAAGGAATGTAAAGGAGCCGCTACTGCCCAAGACCCAGACGCATCTTTCAACACGTGGAATGTGTTTGACATTTACATAAATGGAATCACACGCTAAAGAGGTGAAATGTCTCCAGGTACAAATTGGAGATAAAGGGTAGCAGTCACCTTTTGGGGGTGAAGTTCAAGGTTAGGAGGACACAAGGAGCTGTCTGGGGCTGGCTGCAGTACCTACTCCTATTTTGAAAATCACTGCCAGTTATGTACATTTTCGTGTTTTATGCTAAGTTTAAGAAAAACAACTGGCCAAAGCATTGATCTCTTAGCGAGGAGAAAAATAAGACGGAAAAACATTTTGGTGCTTAGAGAACATAAAAGGAAACATGAGGCATAATGACAATCACCCCTACCACCTGCAGGCCAGATGAGGTGCCCGCCATCCTCCTCTGGATGAGGTCACGCTTTAGTGACAATCCTTCCACCCCAGCGAGAGGCGTGCTGGCGGGGACTCCGCTCCTGGCATTTACTTAAGGACGCAGGTAGAAGGACTGGTAAACTAACATGTAGCCAGGGCTGATGATGCACGCCTGTAATCCCCCCATCGGTATTTCTTTCTTCACAGATGAGGCAGGAAGATTGGAGTTCAGAGCCAGCCTCAGCAACTTGCCTGTGGAAGGTTTCACCCTGCCATGGTCCCAGCAGCAGCAGCAGGAAGAGCACGCAGCCCAGTACAGGGCTCTGAAGGTGACTGTCCTGGAGATGGGACTCTCTGCTCACATCCCACTGGCTAAAGAAGCCCCAGGGGCTGCCTAAGTTCAGGGTAGACGGGCTGCACTAGGGCAGGTAGGGACAGGTAGCTCCCTGGGGCCACACCCCCACCGCTCAACCCACTCAGGTTCTTGTCTCAGGAGGGGTATTGTCCATCCTTCTCCCCCACCCCCAGCCCTCCAGCAGGAGATTTGCAGACCGCTGCCACCACCAACAGTGTGGCTGACCTGGTGTGTGGTCCAGGCCCTGATGCAGGACAGTGGCTTTGCTCCCTCTTTGCACCAAGTGCAGATTGGAGTTGCAGCCTCAGTGAGGCTCAGTCTCGGGGAGGGTCCCCGACCCTTGAAAGGATCCTTGAGGAGGATTCACGGGGCGGGGGGGGCTAACGAGTGGGGCTGGTGAAGGGATGGGTGTGTCCTCTCAGGCAGAAGAGGAAAGCCCAGGGTGGGGTGGGGGAGTGAGAAGGGGCCAGGCTGGATGTGGACTCCTGGGAGAAGACCTGCTTGGGACCCCAACACCTTGTCATGAAGGGAGTCACTAGGTGAAGACTGAGGCAGCAGATGGAAATAAAAACGTGACCCGATTGATCCAAAGTATCCAAAAAGGGATGCTGTTTTGGACCAACCCACTCTTTCCAAGTCTGCTGTTAAGCGGACGGTTCTCGCCTCTCAACCCTGCCCAGAGTCCCTGAGGGAGCGGGTACTCCCCAGTCTAAAGGGATTCTAGTTCCAAAAATGGGTTTGTACACAAACTTGTCAGGTAACTGAAAAAGCACGAAGAGGAAGATACACTTAAAAATGTTTGTTAGGGATCCCAAATCCTTCCACCTGAGGAAAACTAGAGTTGCCCTAGAGTTGGGGTCAGACTCGACGGCCGTATTTCTTTTTCCAATCGCTTGCGTGTCTTACCAAAAACAAACCCAACCCTTTTGCTTTTTTTTTTTTTTTTTAATTTGAAAGATGTGCTACACCAGCTGCAATTCGGTTTTGGGTCGAACAGCCAAAGGGCCCAACGCGGCGCGAGACAGGGTGAGCCTCGTCAGAGGCGGCAGTCCGGCCCTGACCACCGGCTGCCCTGGAGCCCCGGCGGGTGGCTCTCCTGTCCGCTGAGCATCTCAATCTCTTCTTCACAGACGCTCCAGTTAGCTGTGTCCTAAGTGTAGACCTTGACCAAGAACGCCAGAAGCAGCGCCAGCAGCGCCAGGCCCACGGCCACCCGCAGCGCAGGGTCCTGATGGAGCCCCTGCAGAGCGGCTCTGGGACTCGCTGCAGAGGTGGGGGGCACCGAGCTCGCAGCCCCAAGCCGCCTTCTGAATTCCTGTAAGAGAAACAGAAGGAGAAATGGTTTTTTTTTTTTTTTTCCCCTTTTGCAGGCAGAGCGAGCCCCGTGTGGTACCAGTCGAGGAACGGGTCTCGGCCAGGTGCTACCTGGCTCCTTCAACACGGGCACACCTGAACGCCCACCGCGGGCCCCACAGGCCCAAGGCAGAAGCAGTTCATCACGTTCCAGAGCCTCAGGACACTGAGACAGCGTTTATGCAGCATCAAGGCACAGGAGACGTAGTCGCCTCACAGACGGATCTTTCAGGAATGTGACCTTATCCTCTCAACAGAAGAATGAAATGGCTTCAGGTTTATTTTTCTCTTCCTGTCATTCAGCAAACACATGGCTTAGGACAGATTGCAGCCAGTCTGCAGCAGCAGGAGGGGTCACAGTCTCTCCGTGGACCCCGGCATAACGCACAAACAACTATCTTCTCCCAGACAAGGAAAGGGTGGGAAACCACTAGATCAGGAACTGACTCTGCTGCTTCTTAGGTTTCTGGTGAGGGGGATAGAGAGAGAGGAGTACCCCGAGACAGAGCGGTTCTGTGTGTCAAAGCGTAACTTGAGTCCTTGGGTAGGAGACTCACTTTCTCTATCTCCCTGGGAATCCCCGACTTCCCTCAGCCAAAACCTCGTGGTGAGAGATGGAGGTAGGGAAGGGGCGGCTGAGAAACACTGCATAAAGGCACACTGAGGGGGAGAGAGGAACTCCACCACCCACGTCCCGAGCCCTGCACACCTCTGGCTTGGGTGGGGAAGCAGGACTTCTCCACGCACAGCAGAGAAGCCCGGGATGGTGCTCGAGGAGCAGAGAACTGAGAAGCAACTGGTAAGTGTCCTTGGCAGGGGGAGATGACGGCAGAAGGGATGGAGAGAATGGAACAACAGGTGAGTGAGCAAGGAGAAGAATAAAATGGGAACTGGGGAAATTCATGTTTACGACCCAGTTTCCGAAGGCTAATATTTACATGTCATAGATGTGGGAAAAATTCTTATTTCGACTGTAGGAGACTAATTGCAAAACCAACAAAGCTGTTGGCTACCAAACCATTGTTTACCTCTGTTCTCCTCAGGCATCTGGGCAAATATCGTGCAGGTCTCCCTGCACTGGGTCCTTAACAAGGAGCCAACTTCCCCACAGCGGGGCAGGCAATGGCAGGAGCTCCGTGGTGCACCCACACTCGCCACCTCTAGGAGGCAGCACTTGTGAGACCGGCTTTTTGTACCATATTTTGGAGCTGGGAATGCACTGATGATTTGGCACTGTGAGTTGTGAGCAGCCCTCACACAAACATGGCAGAGGACTCGTGGAGCTGAAAGACTGAAGGTATGTAAATTCCTCAAGAGCCGCATGGCTGGAGGGGGACCTTGAGCAACGCTGGCTGTCACCTGAGCTTGCAAGGGGGGAATCTTGGGTAACTTTGGGTTCCTGCTGAGCCCCACACCTGCCCATCCTCAGATGGCATGGCACTAACAGAGCTGCCTAGTGCCCCCAGTGCATACAGCGAAGGGGGTCCAAATGCACTGTTGCTGAGGTCCTGCCTCCAGGAGGAACTGTCATGGCACTGGCAGAGGGGAACACCACAGTTCTGCTGCCACCCGTCTGCCCACTCTGGTCAGAGGACGGGTTTTTCAGGTGCCATCAGGGCAGAGACTCTTGATGCAGAACTAGCTTCATCGGTGCCCAAGGACATTCCCATTACAATAGGAGACACAGGGAGCACCCCTACCTGCCTAAACTGCTAGAATGCTAATAAGACCACATGTGTGACCTGCTGAGAGTGGGGGTCTCTACCTTTGATACCCGCTGTGAGGGTAAGGAAGACAATTCTGTGGTGTCCAGCTAGAAACAAAGGCAACACCTCCAGGAGAGAGCTGCCTTCTAAGAAGGAATCAGCTATTCTAAAGGGGTATGAACTATGCTTCCAAAGGACTGTAACAGTGGACACCACAAACATTGAAATAGATGAAATCTTTATCAGGCATTTTAATGGGATAGAAAATAGTTACAGGATTTGAGGAAAATAAATGAGGATCTGAATTAGAAACAACAGGGAGATGTTGAAAACCTCAGCAAAAGACAAGATGAAGTAGAAGAAAAAAATCTGTACTTGAAGGCAAGTAGATAAAGTTTATGGGCCTAGAAAAGATATGGACAGAGATACAGGTCACTAAAAAAGCCCCAAATAGACTTGTGAAGATTTTTCTGATCATATTCCAGTCAAACTGAAAAACAGATAATGTTCAAGAGAAAAGTGCCAAGGTCATTCATAATAAAGGCATCCCCGTCAAAACAGCAGCAGATGTATCAGGATGTCATTCCCTTTCCGTCTGGTAAGGTTTCTACTAAGAACGGAAAGAAAATGACCAAGATCAAAACTGGGAATTCAGGACCATCAGACCAGGCTCTCAGGACACCTGAGGGAGTCCTACATCCGGAGGTGACAGAAAACATGAGAAGAACAGAACTTTATTAATAAACCACCAGGTGAAAGAGGGAATGGAAATAAAGAATCCTGAAAAGAGAAAGTCCTTATTGTAATGACACTGAATGTAAGTGGACTTAAATTCTCCCACTAAGAGATACAGATGGAAAGTTAAGTTTTGCCCTCTAAGGCTGGGAAACCATGATCCAAGCAAGTGGAACCCTAAAGTCAGCAGGACCAGCTACAACGACCTCTTTCAAAATAGACTTGAAGATGAAAACTACAAGATAAACAAGGTAGCCATACACTGATGAAGGGATCCACAAGAAGATACAAACCCACATGCACTTAATGTTGAAGCAGCCAATTTTACCAAAAACTATTAAATATAAAGAGACAGGCTCTGATAGTATATGGATTTCAACATGCCCCTTTTGTTAATGGGCAGACAACTTGGACAAAACAGACTCAAATGGACTTGATAGACATTTACAGAACATCCCAAGAAAATTCAAAAACGCTGAAGTCATATCCTGTACCCCTTTGGATCACAATGAAATGAAACCAGAATCCAACAAACTGTAGGTTTGTACAATGCATGGAGGCTAAACTTATTTTTGAGGCATTAAAGAAATTGGAAGGAAGATTTTAAACATTTCTCAAAGCAAATGAAAATAGAATCCACAAGTTTTAGTAGACTGTTACTTACTATCTAAAACAATATTTAAAAAAGGACTGGGGGTGTAGCTAAGTGATGAAGTGTTTGCCTAACATGTGTAAAGCCCTGGGCTCAATTGCTGGTACTTTTAAATAATCAAGGAAATCATGTCCTGTTTTCCTTCTGATCACAATGAAATGAAACCAGAATCTAACAAGTCCCAGATTAAACTACAAAGATCAGAGCAGAACTACAGACTTTAAATACCAATGATAAAGATTTTTGTCTTTGAAAAGATAAACAAAATGGACAAGCATTTAATTATAATAACCAAGAAAAAGACCCCAATAAAGATGAAAAGGGAGACATCGAATGATAATAGAAATACAAGAGATCCCTGACAAATAAGAAGCTACGTGCCATTTACGTATGTCAAAATGCATTCTACTGTCATGTATGACTAATTAGAACAAATACAAAGAAATACAAAAGATCATTAGGAATTATTACAAAAGACCATGACAAATTAGAAAAGTATAGAAATGAACAAATTTCTGGACACAACAGGACACCTGAATGAATCAACACTGAGATAGGATCAGTAATAAAATCTCTCTATAAAGAAAAGTCCAGGACTGATGGATTTACTGCTGAATTTTACCAAACTCAAAGACTAACACAAATGCTTCTTAAAGTACTTCGCAGGATTGGAAAGGAGTTCGTTATAACTCAAAGACCAACACAAATGCTTCTTAGAGTACTTCGTAGGACTGGAAAGGAGTTCATTATACAAGGCCAGCATAGGACACACCAACAAAACGACAGAGCAAAAGTTTCCACCAAAACACCAGCAAGTAAAACTAAACCACGCACCCGGAGGCTCGCTCACCAGGGTCAACTGGGATTCATTCCAAGGACTTAAGGATAACTAAGTCAATAAATGTAATATTCATCATGACAACAGCTGCAGAAAAAGCATTTGATAAAATTCAACGTCCCTTTGTGACAAAAAGCCCTGGACAAATCGAGTAGAGAAGGATCATACTTCAACCCAAGAAAGGCCCTACGTGACAGAGCCATCCCCGCAGCCTGCTGCCTGGGGAAAAGCTGGAAGCATTTCCTCAGACCAGGAACAAGACGAGCGTCCACCCGCACTGCTCCTGTTCCGTACTCTAGGAGGAGTTTCTCCTGCCCGACTTCTCTGGCTAAAGACACCACCAAGAGACTACCCGAACTGAAATGAATTCAGTCAAGTGGCGGGCTGACAAGAAACCGGCAGCTTTTCTCTACTCCGATAACAATTATAAATTGTTTTATAACAAAGCAAAAACCTGCCCAAGGAAGCCTCTACAATGGAAATAGACTACTAATAAAACAAACGGGAAAAGGGCTCCCATCATCACGGACTGGACAAGGTAATACTGTTCAAATGGCCACACCACCTACCACACCTCCAGCTCAAATGCAATCCCATAAAAACACCTTCACAGGATGAAGAAAAAAATCGTACAGTTCATATGGAGACACAAAAGAGCCTGAATAGCTAAAGCTGGAGACATCACAATTCCCGACTTTTAGACGGAGTCGCAGTGACCCAAACAGCGTGGCATTGGCATATAAAAGGTCAGAGAGCAACGGAACAGAACATGGTTCACCCAGCAAAGGCCCAGAGCTGGAGAAGGAGGTGAAGCTGGAAAAACAGAACATGCACCTGCAGAAGCCTCGACTTGAGGCCCAGCCTTCTGTACGCAGACTGACCCAGAATGAACCTGATGTCCAGTCGCTTTGAAACTAGAAGAAAATATAGGGGAAACGTGAAGAGATGGGCACAGGCAGTGATCTTCTAGTCGAGACCCCAAAGCACAAGAAACAAACATGATGAATGGTATTACTTCAAACGATTTATGCATGAAACAAAAAATAGTGAAGAGAACCTATGAAATAGGGGGAAAATTGCCAGCTATTCACCTGATAAGGTTAATATCCAGAATATATAAAGAACTCAAAATACTTAAATAGTAAAATTAAAAATGGGCAAATGATCTGAATAGACACTTCTCAAAAGAGCATTTTTTCCCTATATTTGTATTTATTCTATCAGTGCCACCAGGGAAATGCAAACCAAAATCATGTTATCCACTAGTACGAGGGCTATGGTAAGTAGCAACAGCAAATGCTGGCCAGCATGTGGACAGGCCAGACACTGTTGGTGGAAATGTGAATTAGTACAGTCATAATGGAAAATAGGGAGATTCTCAAGAGAAAAATGGAACTACTATGATTCAGCTATCCTGCTTCTGAGTATATATCCAAAGAAAATGAAACCGGCACACCAACAAGCACTTACACACCCGTGTACACTGTGGCACTATTCACAACAGCCAAGATGGGAACTGGCCTTGGAGAGCTGCTGCCCACGGATAAGGAAACTCTGGTTACATACAAAATGGAGTATTAACTGGCCGTAAAGAATGAAATCCTTTACTACATACAGCATTTGCATTAAATGGGTAGAAGTGGAAGTCACTGCATTAAGTCAACTAAGCCAGACACGCCACGCCAAAACAATGCTGATCTGAAGAGAATGAGCACTAGAGGGAGTGGACAGGAGGACAGCGTGTGCTCCACGCCTGTATGGAGTGTATCAAAACTCGGCTGTAAAGCAGCGCTGCTCACTTATCTCCGAGTTCTTGGTCCTCAGTGTTCAGGACTGAACAACCGAGCCGGTGGAGAAAATGAGGGCGTGTGATCCCATGAGAAGTGCAGACGTGCAGAGCTCCTGGTGGCACCTGTGACCTGTGCTGTGTTTGGGGCCCTATTCCACATGCCTCATGAGTGGCTGCTCTGAGCAATCGGGAAACCACAATTGGAAAGAGAATGGCCTAAGGGGAGAACCGAGAGGCCAAGGAGGACGAGGGCCTCGTGCTATGTCACTTAGAGATTTCACAAATGCCCTCCCTTAGGACTGAACCCAGATTTGGTAAGTCCTTCAGGACTCCGTCTGAGGGGGAAAAAAAAATGAAAAATTATGGGGCCTTTTTAGAGATACTGTACCTAAAGTAAGAGGGCCTGAACCTTCAGCTCCGCGAGGTTGGGGAAGGACCCAGCCCTGTTCCCAGTTCAGAACGCTGGACCTTGGTTCTGTGTGTGCAACTGAAGAAACTGCCACTCGTGATGGGTAGGGCCAGCCCAGGGGTCAGGCTGAGCCAGACGGGACTGGGCGAGTCTCGGTGTTAAGCATCTGGCAGGATTTAGAACGCATTCTGCTCCACAAACCTGCAGTCAGGTAACGGGCCCTTGGCCCCTCCTAATAACCTGGGACTTTTGATGACAATTTTATAAAATTTCTTCTTTGATTTCTTCTAACTCATTTGCCATAAAATTTTGCTCAAAATGTAACTCGCCCACTAAGCTGCCAGGGTAGGTTATCTGTCCTCACGTTCAGTGTCGTCACTCTCCTCTGAGCAAAATAAAGAAGTTAATGCCCAATCACTTAACGTTTTAGAACCTAACTGACCTGCCAAGGTATTCCGATGCCGAGCCCCTCTCCTGTGCCTGGTGGGCACATCATGCAGATGCAAGAAGCCCCCCGACCTTCCCCCCCTGCAAGATCAAGGCAGGTGTGACAACCAGCAGGGAGGGACAGGGCCCCCTACTTTGCGACTTCCATTATTCCCACTTCTTCCTGAAGCAAGATACTGACTAAAGGAGACTGACACTGATTTAGTACAAGACTGAAAGTTTCTCAGATGGCAGTGCGTTCCCCAACCAACTTTGTTACTAAACAAAAGCTAATCTAGAAATGTGGGTATGAAGGTATTCGAAGATGTAAATGCACAACCATGGCAGATTTTAGTCAGAAGCAGGGGTTTTGAACAGAAAACAATGTAGCACTGATAGAATAAAAAGTGCTTATAAGTGAAATTATAGAAAATAAAAGTTAACACAATGCACAGGGTAAGGAATGCTATTGACTGACTTCAGAGGAAAACGTACTGTGACCAATGGTCCCTAAAAGGAAAGAGGAAGCTGAACCTTGGACATAATCAACATTACCAATTCCCTCAAATTCAAGAAATTTTATTGCTTATTAAGCTGTCAACTTTAAGTTCTTAAAAAGCTAAATCTCAAACACTATCTACTTTTTTCAAAACAAACTTGAAACAAGGCCTTTGTTCAAAGAGATCGATGTATTTATCCAGTTTTAACAGATGAAGGGAGCAGCTGGTCTTCAGTGGGTCCCTGATTGTAGTCTGATGTTAAAGCAGAGCTTATCAAGTACTATCACAGCAGAAGCAAGCACGTACATCAAAATATAAAGATCTGTTAAGTTCAGAAACGAAGGCTCAGAATCCTACCAGAGATGAGAGCATTTGGAACTACACCAACAGTCTTGTTCCCTCCATCTCTAGCAGTTACACATGTACCACTGGAGAAGGAAGTAGTGCCTTTACCTGGAGCACCTTTAATGCCATGAAGGGGACACAGGACCAACTCTGAGGGCCATTAAGAGCTTGAACTCCTGGGCTTCAATGCCAGGTTGCTCTGAAGGTTCTTGTACAAATTATCTTCTATTTCCTCACTTAGAAATGAAGGCATCTGTGCCTCACAGGGTTGTTAGTGGCATAGTGTCCTGAGCACTTAACACTCTGCTCATGTCTTGTCAGGAATCGCTCTGTCTATGCCAGGGCCATGCTGTTTGGGTCACTACGTAGCTTGTCTTGGAGTCAGGAATTGAGATTCTCCCAGCTTTGTTCTTTTTGTTCAACGTTGCTTGGGTTGCTTAGGGATTTTGTGCTGCTTTGTGAATTGTAGGATTTTTCTAGTTCTGTAAAGAGCATTGTTGGTATTTTCTTGGATCACGGAAGCTGTAGCTTGCTCGAGGTAGTATAGACATTTAACAATGTTAATTTGTCTAGTCCCTGGAACATGGATATCTTTCCACTTTCTGGTGTCTTCTCTAGTGTTATATATACAAAGCAGTCTGGTGCTCAGCCATAAAGAATAAAATACTGACATCCAGGTGTGGTGGCACATGCTTGTAAACCCACAAACTCTGGAGCTAAGGGAGAAGAACTCGAAGTTTTCAAAGCTAGCCTGGGTAACTTAATGAGATATTGTCTCAATATAAAATAAAAAGGACTGGGGATGTAGCTCGGGACTTGTCTGGCATGAGTCAGGTCTTGGGTTCCATTCATAGTATCACAAAAGGAAATACTACCATTTACAGCACAGTGGATGGAAGAGGAGGGTCATCGTGCAAAATAAGGCAGACGAGAACTGCTGCTTCTCTCCGTATGGGGAAAGTAAAAATATTTGACCTAAAGTACTATAAAGACAGTCAATAAGACAGTCTGCTGGCTGTCTTATTAGATTGTCAGGTTGAAGTGACAGTCGTACATCACTAACACTACGTGGTGAAACACAGCAGCATTGGGGCAAAGCTTTCGGTGGAGAAGTGACAAGGTATATAGCATCTGCTGCTTCTGAAAATTACCTAAAGTACAAGGACTGCAAAGTGTGGTGGGGGAAAAGCAGAGACACAGCGTGATGGGAGATGACTGGAGGGTGCTGAACGAGTATGGAAAGATCACATTAAACGTCATGAAGGTGTGTTAATAACAGGAGAGTGCAGAGAAGAAAAGCACACCCCAAAACCTCAGCTAACATATTCCATGGCAGCTTGGGTTCTAAGACAATGTCGATGGTTTCAGGTATTCTCTTGGCAACATTATAAAGTGACTGTTGTGTTTCCTTCTCAGACAGGATTGGTCCATCCATGACGGCTCTGTTCCTCATGCAGCATGCTGAAGAGCTTGGGTTTTGATTCTGGCAGACTAGAAAGGGAGTCCAAGTTCAGACGGCTCTGTGGTGTCTCACAGGAGGACTGAGCTCTTTGCCTAGTTCCCCTTCCTGTGAAGGAGCAAAATCAACCTCTCCCCCAAGACACTGCTGGAACCCGGAGGTTCGTCCTGAAGGGCTGCCGTTAGTTACGAACAGGAGTGTGCCTGGAGACAAGCTCAGAGCCTCCTAGGGCACCCGGCTGGTGAGGTCCTGTCTTGAGGAAGCTACACACAGTCTACCCCTTGCTCCCTGGGTTTCTGAGCAGGACTGTGGAGGGAGCCTTCTGGGAAAGTTCTTAATAACTCGAACCATCAACTGGGACATGAACTGTACAGGAAAACCTGTCTCAACTGCCTGCCCGTCCTGTGCTGGGGCCTTAGAGCTGAGTGTCCACAGCGGTGAGGTCTGCCCTCCTCTCCACTGATGTCCAGGACGGGGCTAGCTGAAGGGCTTCTGGCATTACTACCTGTTCCTATATAATCTCATTTTATACAGGTACAAATATTCTCTTCATGTGAAATGCCACTCGTCTGCTGGCTGTCTTATTAGATCGTCAGTGATGTATGACTGTCACTTCAACCTAACACGACGTGGTGTAAACCCAGCAGCATTGGGACAAAGCTTGCGGTGGAGAAGTGACAAGGTATATTAGCATCTGCTGCTTCTGAAAATTACCATGAGTCTAGGGCTCTGAACAACACAGACTTGTTACAATTCTGTAGGCAGAAGTTCTAAAATCAAGGTTGGCGGGGATGTGTGCATCCACTGGCAGGTGGCCCTTCCCTCTGTCAAAGCCGTAGCAGCAGGCTTTTTATTGTGACCTGTACATCAGAACCATCTTCCCATCTCGAGATCCTGAATCACTTTTCCTCCATTAGGTAACACGTTGGCCACTTCCAAAGCCCAAGACATGGACTGCTGTGACCATCTCTAGAGCCACCAGTGGTCCTGCAAGCTCAACCCACCAGGCTGCATAATCCATCCTTATCTGCACCAGAGGACGCCCTCCAACAGAGGTGGGGCACTGCCAGGTACTGTGGCGGGCGGGCAACAGGCTCCTGGAGAGGAGGGCGGGGAGCGTGCAGGCTCCGCATTCCCTCACTACTGAGCTAACAGACCTGCTGATCCAGCTGCTTACAGAGAAAACGGGCCTCCAGGGCCACCCAGATTTGTCCTGCTCCCAGAACTTCCAGTCCCAAGCCAGGCCTGTGGAGAGGGCAATCAATGGTGCTGAAAGGTTGTTGGTCTTTCTACTTATTCTTCTGCAGAAGATATTTGTGCTCTTTTCTTGGGGACTAGATGGGTTTGCACCCCCAGTGGAAGGAAGTCATGCCATTCAGAGAATGCTGCAGTTCTCCAACTTCTCATAGAAATATTTATAAACTAACACACCTCCGGTTCTGCAGTCTCTTCCATAAGAATTCAGCAGGAAAGGGAGAGGACTGGTTCCTTGTGGTTATTTTTTTTTTTTAAACCACCCTAAGTAGAAGGAACGTGCCCTATATTCGTTCTCTCCTCTAATCTCCAAAGTACCCCAGGAGTCGGGGAGTTAGCCCTGTTAAGTCACTTGCCCGACTCACAGGAGGTGGACTGAGAAGCTGGGTTTAGTCATCCTGGGCAGAGCCCCACACCAGAGATAAATTTACAACCCAACGTGAATCCGAAACACCAGGCACTGCATGGTCACTAAAATGACCCTCAGGATTGAGACCTTGTGGAGGCCATGGCAATTTGTTTCCCCACAAAAGTTGATTCCAGGAAAGCTAGCCTCGGTGATGCAGATGTACCTCAGCTGCAGACACTAAATGTCTGAACACACCTATGGGCGCACACGCACACATACTTGACGTGCTCACATTAGAACACACCGCGAATGTGCTTAAATGAGGAACAGTGGCTCTGAGTCTGCTCAAATAGGAGCCCTGCCAGGGAGCTGCCACCTGTCTTCCCATCTTGCAGGGCAGCTTCTAAATGAGTTCTTCTGTCCCCGACACCTGCAGGTGTTGCCAGGGGCCCTGCAAGTGCACAGCACGTGCCAGCTCCCATCCTCGGATTGAGAGACACCCTATCCCTATGCTTCATGTCACCACCAGATACCAGGACACACAGGGGATTCAGGGTGCCTAGCTTTCTTTCTCCATTCTTCTAGGCACCCAAGCATCTTACTACAGGCTGGAATGCACAACTTATCTCCAAGTCAAAGGTGTCGGTATTTTATAGTTCTTGAGCTCTGTTTAATAAATGTTACTTGTATAGCCCATCAGCATTATAGGCACCTGGAATATAAGAGGATCAACAAAATTGAGTTTGCAATTAATTAGGCCTTTTCACTTACAATTTGTCAGTCTCACAAGAGCACGTCGTCAGCCTTTCTGTCACAGTTGAACATATACACAAGAAAATCACCCTGTTAATGTCATGGATGGGTTTCTTTTGATAGGAAAGTAAATAAGGGCTTTGCTTATACAGCTGAACATAAGCTATCTACAGTATAATCAAATGAATTTCAGATTATATTCTGAATAACTTTGCCTCGACGTCTACCAAAGGACCAGATCTGATATGGCCTCTGCCCAATCATTACTTTCCGTAAGATCCCATCTGCCTTGCGATGTGAAAACACTCTCTCTGGGCTTATTTTAAAGGGTTCAAAACCTCCTGCGTTTTCCTCAGGGCTTGCTCAGACACTGAAGAGTTCGAAGAGCAGCTGCTGAGGTTTGAAGACTCATGTCAAGATAAACAAGGCTTTGTAACAGTACCCACCACACCAGGGCTCTGCAGAGCACCTCCTTCACCAAGCGTGTGACCAAGGTAAGGACGAGATCTTAAGACACATTCTGTACTGCCATAAACTAGCAAAGGACAGAGGTGGCTGCTTAATGCTCCTTGAAGACTGGAGATTTCCCTCTCGTATTGGCACTGAACCCAGGGGTGCTTTACTGCTGAGCTGCCAGGCTGTCCTGGAACCCCCAAGCCTCCTGCGTTGCTGGGATTACAGGTATACCACCACACCCTGGTAAAGTTTTTAATTGGACACAACCTTATTTTTATGTGGTGCTAAGGATCGAACCTGGTGCCTCACATGTGCAAGGCAAGCGCTCTGCCACAGCCCCTGATAATGTTAACACTTTGTTAGCAAGTGAACTTAGACTGTTCCAATTTTTGGCCTGGTACATTTACCTAAATGAGGGAGGGAGCATGGGGAAAGTATCAGATCTAGCATTAATAACAGTACAAAAACCTTTGCCAACAGTGGTGCATTACCATTTGTTTATATATAACTTCTCTAGATCCACAAAAGCTGCGAGGTGTAAGCTTTGCTCATAAGGTGTGTGTATTAGCAGCTTGGGGTCTCGCCTGAGGATACGTTCACTTCTTCCTTGCCAAAGAGAAGGCATAGAGGTTTCCCTTAAAATTATTTGGGGATGTGGCTCAAGCGGTAGCATGCTCGCTGCCTGGGTTCAATCCTCAGCACCATATACAAACAAAGATGTTGTGTCTGCCAAAAACTAAAAAAATATTAAAGAAATTCTCTCTTAAAAAAAAAAAAAAAAGAAAGAAAATTGTCTCTAAGTTGCATATTTACTGGGTCAAAGTTTGGAATTACTTAGAAAATGTCATGTGAATCTCTTACTAACTAAACCTCAGCCGCAAGAGTGTATACATTCGAAGGCTCAGCTGGGCAGGACCTGATTCTAGACTCATTCATGGGGGCTTCTGCATAGGGCATGAACAACATGGCAGCCCCCAGATCAAGTAAGCAGAAACCTAAGTTTAGCCTATAGTCGAAGGCAGGGTATTACCTGAGGGTTTGAATACTGGACCTTGACATGGTGCCGGGATGAGCACGGGCCCAAAGGAAAGCTGCCCCAGAGGTGCTACAGGGAGAAGTGAGCAGGTGAAGCTGCTGTGTGATGCAGTTTTTCAATGATTTCTTAAACCACACCGGAAGCCCTTCTCATCCATAGAATGCGCACAGGAAGTGGATAATGAGGGTGTTGATAAGCATAACAATCGGGTGCACTGAATTTAATCAATTCAACTCAAAATAATTAGTCCTAAGAGTTTCCTTCCACCTAGGTAACCAGGAGAGAGCTCAGTGGCAGATGTTTGGTTTGTTTTAAATGAAAAAGCTGCGTGTGATACAAGCTGTTATTGTAATGCCACCCTCTCCTAAGTTCCAAGTATCATTTTCAATGATACTAGAAATATGGTTTTAGCATCATTGAGCTCCAGGAACTGCATAAAGCGAATAAAGGAGACAGCAGGTGCTTTTTCTTGTCTCAGAGTCTTGTAATTGACGAGCTAACATGTAAAAATGTTCCCTGCAGATTAACATGATAGGTAAATGCTGATAAGCCAGTTAAGAAAAATTACATACTATAATTCACTGAACTCAACCACTGGAAGAAAGCTCACATCTCTAAAGTTCCTTTATGCATTTTTCCAAAAATCGATTCCAAGCTATGCCCACTCGCCCTCATTTCCATTTTGAATACAGATACTTTTAATAATCTTTCATTTCAAGTGACTTACGTTTATTAAAGTGGTAGGCAGCCTTGAAGATGGCCCCCTATATTCAAACCCTCAGGTAATACCCTGCCTTCAACTATGGGCTAAAGTTAGGTTTCTGCTTACTTGATCTGGGGTCTGCCATGTTGTTCATGCCCTATGCAGAAGCCCCTATCAATGAGTCTAGAATCAGGTCCTGCCCAACTGAGCCTTGGAATGAGACTGTACACCCAGTCGCTCCTTACCTACAGCCTCACCAGACCTCTCGCCCTCAGATACTGTGTGTGGTTTTAAGCTGCTAAATGGAGATAATTCGTTACATGGCAAAAGATGCCAAGAACAGGGCTAGAAACCAATTCACATGCAGAAACTTACTTTATAACAGAGGCATTGCAGACCAGTAGAAGTAGACTTTGGATAAAATGTTCTGCAACAATTGGTGTAGATGCCTAAAGCAATGAGATTTAACTCCAGGTATTTAAGCCACAAAATGTATTCTAAAAAGTCCTAACGGGAGGTTATGACAAGCCTCAAACAGAAACAATTGCTTTGTAAATAGCTGACTTTAGAGTACCCACAGGAAGACAACCTGGAAAAAAGAACACAAGCAAATTTCAACCACCTCCTTACAGAGGGGGACCCACGCTGCCCCGCCGAAGAAAGTCGGGAAAACCCAGCAGCCCCGGTCATAGCGTAAGACTGGTCCCCACAGGCTTCCCGTCCAGTTGAAGGAGCTGGCTGGTCTAAGAACCACGGCTCCAAAGGAGGTCACTCTGGCACCCCTCAACCCAGAAGCCAAGCTCGTGCAAGGCTAGCAACTGGCTTGCTGGTGTGTCCTCACAGGCCCCTGGCTGTCCTGTAGCCTCAGGACGAGGTTTGCCATAGCCACAAGCCCACATCCCAACTGCACAAATGAGAACGTATTCCTTGAAGTTCAGAGCCTTAAGACTGCAGCTACTACTATTAAGGACCCCATGGTCACCTGCAGCTCTGGGGACATTCTGACACCACCTGCACTCGTCCAGCAGAACCTCAACATCTCCTCTCCAGGCCCTGACCTTCAGACTGAAACTGCTGGTGCCTCGGAACCTGGAGAAGACCCCCGTCTGGGTTCTGCAACTCCAGCAAAGTGGTAACCACCGTTATTAAACCCATTGCCCCCCACGATTGTCCCACAGGACCTAGAGAAAGTCCCCCTTTGATCCCACGGAACATAGGTAAGGTCCATCCCATTCTCTGGCTTTAGAACTGTGGCTGCTACAGGCATCTCCCACGTTCATTCTGGGTGACTTGGGGAAGAATCCCCTTCCCATCCTCTGGCGCTGGGACATGGCTGCTGCAGCCACAATCCTTGGTGTCACCTGTGCGGGACAGTCTTCTTCATGTCCTGCATTACTGTGGGAACTAAGGTCAGAGGCTCCAGGCCCATCCATGCCTGACATCACAAAGCGGCACAAGTATGTTCATGATTCACTGCAGGCCACACGACAGAGGCACTCAGGGACACGGCGGGCATTGGCCTCAGCTGGGAACTCGCCAAGGCTACACGTTGAAGTCCATCTATGACCAAAGGACCTACCCACCTGGTACCTAAGTTTCCATCTAAACAAAAACATCATCTTATGAAATAAACTCCGTAAAAGTGAGACAACTGTTATACCAGACATCAATGCAAAGGTAGAAGAAATTTGAAACACAATATCCAAAGGAACACAGTAAGCTTCCAGAATATTCATAGCAGTTTGAAGAATATCTATGAAATTCCTGACAAAATAATGAATGATCCTAAGTAGGATACAAGAATATGAATGAGGAATTCACCAAAGAAACAGAAATCACAAAAAAGAACCACTCTGAAAGGGTCGAGCTAAAAACTTCCAATTGACAGCAGGTACAATAGACTAAAATGACCACACAGGCCTCTGCAGGGCCCAGGCAGACCCCGGAGCCTAGCCTCTGGTGCAGGACCCCCCCTTCTGACCAGTGCACTCCCGCAAGAGCCGAGATACAGCCCAGAGAGCTCTCAACAGCCCAGGCGGGATCCAAGTTTTCAGTAGGCAGGTTCACCCCCCACCCCCAGCGGGGCCAGACACTGCTGAACCTTTGGCACAGGACCACCCCTTCCTACCACGAGACGACAGTGGGAGGTCAAGCCCAGCGGCCTACTTCCACCAACTCCAAATCTACACAGGTCCCAGGATGCTGTAGCATCCACTGAGGGACAGCAGGAGGGTCTGGAAGCCCAACATCAAGGTGAGGTACAGACAATCTGCAGGGGAACTACAAGAATAGAGGGAGGAAACTAATATCTCAGAGAACATGAAAACACAAGGGAGGAAAGTGCCCCAAACCAACCAGGACACTGTAAAAACAGAACCCATGGACAGCGGAGTTGATGAAATGTCAGAGGAGGAGCTCAGAAGGTTCACAATTAAAATGATCTGTGAATTAACGAATGACCTAAATGAGCAAATACAGGCAAAAATTGATCACTCCAACAAGGAGATGAGAGACAAATACAGGTAGCAAGAGTTTACTTCAAGAGAGATAGAGACCCTAAAAAACAAAAAGTCAGAAATCCTTGAAATTAAGGATACAATACATCAAATAAACTCAAACTCAATAAAGAAAGCATCACCAACAGACTAGATCACTTGGAAGACAGAACGTCAGACAATGAAGACAAAGTACAATCTGGAAAATAAAGTTGATCACACAGTGAAGATAGTTACAAACCATGAACAGAACAGCCAAGAATTATGGGACAACCTCAGAATTCCTAATAAAAGAGTTATTGGGATAGAGGAAGGCACAAACCAAAGGAATGCACAATCTCTTCAGTGAGATAATATCAGAAAATTTCCCAAACATGAAGAACAAACTGGAAAACCAAATACATGAGGCTTACAGGACCCCAAAAGTACAAAATCACAACAGATCCACACCAAGGCACATTATAATGAAAATGCCCAGCATACAGAATAAGGATAGAATCTTAAAAGCCGCAAGAGGAGAATCAGATCACATATAGGAGGAGACCAATTCTTACCTCAGCAGACTTTTCCACCCAGACCCTCAGAGCCAGGAGATTGTGGAACAACATATCCCAAGCTCTGAAAGAAAATGGTGCCAACCAAGAATCTTATATCCAGCAAAACTAAGCTTTAGATTTGATGATGAAATAAAAACCTTCCAAGATAAACAAAAGTTAAAAGAATTTACAATTAGAAAGTCTGCACTATAGAACATCCTCAGCAAAATATTCCAAGAAGAGGAAATGAAAAACAGTGATGAAAATT